TTTTCTAACTTCTCCAACATCGTTTGGCTTATTTGCACCAAATTTGACTCAGATCATCTTCAGACCATGCTGTCAAAAACGTATTGAATTTGTGTCGATAGGTGTAATGGTTTTTGTTTACTGGACCGACAAGCTACATCTGAAGTTATATCTCTGCGATAGTTAAAACATTTTTAGGTCAGTCATTATGGTCTCACACTGACCAGACCATAAAATTTGGTGACAGTGCCACCTATGGGTCAAGAGTTATAAGACATTATTATTCATTATTAATGAAACTTACAAAATTGGCTAAAACTTTTGACTGCATAAGCTTATTTGATTAATTGTAATTATCCCTTGGGTCATGCCGACAACACAGATACCAAAATTCCTGTCCTTAACCTCCAAATCCTCCTTAACCGTTGGTCCAATCTTAACCAAATTTAACTTGGATCATTTTAAGACAATGTAGACCAAAAGTTCTGGAATTAATGTCAATAGACAACTGTTGTCATTTAGCACATGCGCAAACTTTATTTAATGCTGCCAGATGACATTACAGGCCGAATCACTGCTATAGTTTGAAGTATTGAAACCAAACTTAAAATGTGTGATCTAGACCTGACATTGACCAAACTACGTCAATTTGAGTAAACTTCTTTGTAAAATTAACAAACATTTAAATTCTGTGAATATAAATCATACAAAATTTATTAAATGACTTGATGAATGAATAGTTTTGTCTATTGTCATGAGACTGGTCTTGCAGATTCCTTGTATCATACAGAGCACATTGATATAATTTATTGCCTAATTGACATTACTTCCTGTCCACCATCTTGAATTAGTTTGAAAATCTGTTGTTTTGAACTCTCTATAGATTTTTAGTCCAATTTCCACCAAATGTGTCTCAGAACATGCTGTTGTTGCCGTGCTTGTTAATGATCTGGCCGCTGGGCTGCTTGGCCCCGATAATTGCTGCTTGCAGCTATATTTATCTTTTTTTTATTCAATTCTGCCATTTATTATTATTATTATTTTAATAAAACCACATTTTTTCAATCAAAATATGAAAATGTGACAGTCTGTGATCAAGTGGAAGAAATGCACATTTTAAATGTCTGCAAAAGCGCATGACCATGCAGAGTGTCCTATATGGATATGTCCATTTTTACCATGTGGTATCCAATGAAATGGTATCCATTACCCAAGTCATGTTCCGAAATGTACAGTAAATTAATAGGTTCATAAAAGTCATAAAGCATTTTGTCAGGATGTAAAGATCTCCTTACATAAGCAAAAATCCAAGTCTGCAAGAAATGGTTTGCTTGAACCTTCTGAGCCTGAATGTTGCTCTAAGGAATAACAATAAAACAAGATATCATTCTTTCAGTTATAATAACAAATAAAGTTTTAACCTGTTTTACACTTTAAGCAACTGAAATGAAAAAGGAAAGTACTTGTAACTGTGTTTTGACTGGAAATAAGATAATATAATTTCCAGATTAAGTTTTCAGTGTCTGATTGCTTAATTGCCTGATGTTTTTTAAGTGAATAATTTGACACTGTCTGTTTTCATGTACTCGTGAGAAAATGCTCTCAAGTGTGTAATAGTATTACACAAGAGTCATGTTTAGATAAGTAACATCTGAAGAGTCAAATGTGAAAGGAACTTTATTTGGATTTCTTACCCCACTTTTCTATTCTTTTCCATGCAGTGAATGAAGCTTTCAGTCTCCCAAAGTGAACAAGAACATCATAAGGTGTCATAGCTATAATAATTTGAAAGTATCAACGATTTGTATATGAAACAAAACAAAACAAACAAACAAAAAGACTACTTAAATGTATGTGATTTTCAGTTTGAATGATTGAGGATTGAAGTGTAAGTGATTGATCAGTGCCTGACAGATGAAGAGGGTCAGTAATAAAGCTCTAAGGGTGACGAGGCTCTGCTTGTTTGTCAGCTTGGTGTTGATAGGTAGTTAATCAAGCCATGTCAGGAATGGAGTTTGGTTTCGACCCCACTGCAGGCCCTAAACCTGCAGGTTATATTTGGCCCACTGGGCCCCGTTAGAGACTGAGAACGCAGGCATAGCGCAACAAAACACCAGTTAAACACCTTCCCAGAATCTGGAAAATAAATTCTCTGAGAATAGGCGAAAGAACCCAAAACCACAGCTTTCTTTATGTTTTCTTTTTATAGCAAGGAAGTTCAAAGGTATATATTTTGGCATTGATGTTTTCACAAACTAGTCACTTTTTTAAGCGCAACTGTTACATGATATAATGACTAAATGATATCTAAATTTGAAATACGTATAAACAAAATTCTAATATACTATAAACATTACAAGATATGTTTTAGTTGCAGTTAAACAAAATTAGGCCAAAGCAAAGTTTAAATTGTGTTTCAGAAGTCCAAAACTGCTTTGCCAAAGGGAACTTTCAGGGAAAGCTGGTAAACACCTTCAAAATACCATTTGTCTGTGACGATTATGTAATTGAATGCTACTCTGAGCTCTGCTTCTTTGCCATGAAACTCTCTGGTTCATTTCCTCTTCTCAGTCCATGGAGATCAAATGTCCCCAAGTAAAAACATCAACACTGGAGAGCTGCTTTATAGGTGAATTTGAAGTTGTAATTCTAATTGAAAGAAACACCAGCAGAGTCATTTTCCGTGCTTAACTCCTTCCCTGCCATGGACAGAATTTTCCACTATTTATGACGCATACTTCCCTGCCGCCGGTGCTATTTTCTGGCTTCTCATGGTTAAAATGTTATAGCTGTAGCACATTCAGAAATAGAACAGAATCTCAGCATCTACAAACAAGAGCATGAAGATAGTTTTAACACTTAAAAACAAAGTTTTAACAGAAGGTAGAATATTCTTTAGGTATTCTAGGTATTCATTTTCTTTTGCTTCTATTTTATATATATATATATATATATATATATATATATATATATATATATATATATATATATATATATATATATATATATATATATATATGTATATGTATATGTATATTTGTATGTGTATGTATATATATATATATATATATATATGTGTGTGTGTGTGTGTGTGTGTGTGTATGTGTGTGCGTGGTGCATGACTGTTTCTTGCAATCCATTTACTAGCAGATTTGTAGTCCTACAAATCAGCACTCAATTACTTTTTTTTTAATATTGTAAAGCACTTTGGGCAGCCCTATAATGTGCTATATAAATAAAGTTTAATTGATTGATTGACTGTGATCTGTGTGTTTACCAGTGATCTGAAAAAAAGCCATTATTCTAATTATTTTTTAAAAATAATGTATAATAAATAATATAAATATATATATATATATATATATATATATATATATATATATATATATATATATATATATATATATATATATACATACATACATGTATTTATGTATATATTTAAGATACATTCTTTCTTTTAATATAGTATGCAGTATATTATGAAGTACTGTCTGAATAACGACTTTCTTAGATGCTGCTTTCTCACCACTGTCATTTTTTGTGTTTATTTTGTACGTTGTTGAATGTGTACAGCACTAAGTACCCATGAAACTTCCAAATAGACTAAACAGAATAAAGTCTGTATCTATTCTTAATCTGAATGTATTCAACCTCATAAATCCACTCATCCATGTTGTTCGGCTCTCTTTTCCTCTAACTCACTTTCACTATCACCATCTTTTTGAACAAAAGAGCCTGTGTGTGAAAGTTCAAATACCAGCGAAGCCACATATTGTGGCCTTCCAAAGAAAAACACGGCTTTCTCAGTCACTGTGTGATTATCAGCGGGTGGAGACATAAATAGCACAAACTCTGATAAGAAGTAACAGGCATCCACAGTGCTGTTGTAGTCATGTTTTTGGCAGAATGCAGGCGAAGGAGGGATGCAATGAGAAAAGAAGACAGGAGAGATGTTAGGATCAGAAATGATGAATGAGAGGTTGCTATGACACTGAGGTTCTCCATGTTGGGGTCACAGCTTCACTTTGGGTCATCATAAATGCAAATGGATTGCATGAGAACTGCATGCTATTTATGATTTAAATAAAAACATCAATTTTATTGCTGTAGGGTAATGACATACTGCATTTAAAATATGTCTGTTTTCTATGCTTGATACAGTCACACAATAGGAAAGTTTTGAGATTTCACTCAAAAATGTAAGAAAATATATAATAACACAGCAGAGGTCCATGAAAGACAAAGCCATATTTAACCATTTACTGCATTTTAAATGCTAATTTAAATACTAATATAATAATATAAATAAATACTAATTATGTTCATTTTTTGTCATGTGTGACAGTGAAAATGCAAAACTAAATCGACAACCCGTTTCTATATTTTAATATTGGTTGAATATTTTATTGACTTGCAGGCAGTTGCACAGTAGATTTATTTTCCTGTAGATTATTTAAAAATGGAGTTAAAGAAAGTAAAAGACGACTGTTAGGAAAAAAAAAAAAAAAGCTTAATGGTTTAAAAAAAAATCATAATTATTTTCTAAAAATGTAAGATGTAAATGTATAACAGTTTATATAAAAAAAAATAATAATAAATTGTATGATTTTTCTAGTTTATCTAGTTTTACCAAATAATCAAATTATTTTAATTAGGATTTTTTTCTTGATTGGACAGATGCTGGATATCCAAAAAGTTTATCTGATATCCCTGTTTAATTTAATTTAATTTAATTTAATTTAATTTAATTTAATTTAATTTAATTTAATTTAATTTAATTTAATTTAATTTAATTTAATTTAATTTAATTTTTTTTCTTTGCTTTGCTTAAGACCAAAAAGGCCAGAAAGGGTGTGAGAATTCATTCTAGCAGCTGAAGCTTGAGTTCGGAGCCCCATGTGTCCTTCCTGTCTTTACTGAAAGTCCTCATTGTCTTCAACACTCTGTGCATTTCTTTTTCACTTCCCTTCTCACTCTTGCTCTCACTTGACCTCTTTTTTTTTTTTTCCTGTGTTCAGGTGGCGTTACATCTGCGGCCCATCCAGTCCCTGCATGTGCACCAGAAACCACTGGTTTTTATCCTGAACTCCCCTCAGCCCATCCTCTGGAAGGTCCGGACAGAGAAACTGGCCCCAGGAGTTAAACGTATCTTCCATGTGAGTCTGGCCTGCTTTATGACTCTCAAACCATCTCTCCATCACAGCCCTGTCTGACTCTCCTTCCTCCCCCTACCAGTTCTGAGCCAAATCCATTGCAGTAATGAATATTCAGATTCTCATTCATCCCAGATCAACAAGCATCTTTAAACACACAATTCATTTACACTCTCTTTGGCTCGTCTTGCTTTCCTCAAACAAACTCCTGTCAGCAAAGGTCTTACTGGCTCAAAGATGCATTCAGGTGCGTGTACCCATAGGAAATGCAAACATGCACACAAACAAACAGACCCACCCACGTACACACACATGCGCCAACACCAGCATCTTTCAGACAGAGGTTGGTGTAATTGCATTTGGCGCAGGCTCACAGGTTTATATTGACTGCTGTAGTCTGAATGTTCACCATGTTGCCTGACGGATGTTTGGTGGTGAGACGGTGCTGAGGTTTATTCTCTAATTGTGGCTTTTCTCTGTTTCCCAGTGCTTTTGCAGCAGAAACACTTATTGCTCAGTGGGTGCTCTTTTAAAACTCAGCCTTACAGAATTCCCTGATAGGCATTAGTTATATTAGTTGCAATGTTTCCCATACCATTATATTAGCGTGGCACGCCGCCCCCCCAACGGCTTTCCCCGCCCCCTTGAAGTCAATTAATATTTTCTATATATCACAACTTATTTTAATAAACAAGCTAAATAGCTGTATGTAATATCTTTATATTAACACAACAGCATGTCATTTATGTTTTTAGATGGTCGCGCATTTACAGATTTCTGCTTTCTGAATCACGCATGGTAAAGTTCCTCACAGCCACTCTCTGCTGTATGGGAATGAGAGTGCATGCCACATCTGACAGGCGAATCATTTTGAACGAATCTTTTGCATGACTCGAGAACAATAAGTCCTTTCAGAGTGATTCGTTCATTCACGCATCCAGGTGAAGGAGAAGATCAGTTAATTATACAAGTCTTCTATCGGGTTTGAAAGACACATGAAAGAAAAAAGCCAGTCAAATGCATTTAGATCCGGAGAAAAATTTGATTCGTTCATTTCTCAAGTCCTCGGTTTAAGTGTCTCATTTATCACATGAAAGACAGAAATGATCCAAATTTCCCATCACTACACCGGATGATAGGCTTTGACCCGACTTGGCTGTAAGAGCGGCAATATTCCCCCTTCCTTGTATAAGACTAATCTTGGTAAGAAAGTCAGTAAATACACACTTAGGAAAAAGAAGTATACTTAATTTTTTAAATACATATACTTATGTAAAGGTCAAGTATGAAGTACTACACTGAAAAAAAGTGTTACATGCAGAACTGTTGCAAACAATTTATTTGTGTTGAATTTAAACAAACAACTGAAATTGAATAATGTTCAACTTAATTTGTTTAAATTCAACACAATAAAATTGTTTACAATGACTTAATGTAAAAAAATGTGTAAATCCAAGGAATCATCTTTGAATTATTTTTTCAGTGTAGTAGTGTACTTGTGTGCACCCCCAATCGCCCCACCCCAATGCTTGAATACCTAGGAGTAAGACTGACTTGTATAACGTATTTAATCAAAATTCTTAGCAATGAAGGTAAACTGTGGCAGTCCCATTTAAAAAATACATGTTTGTGTCTTGTGAACAAACTGACGGTCAGCCATTAGACTTGGTGTGTTCTACATGTCACCTCTCGCTGGGTTAATGTCTGATCGAGTTGTCCCGATTCAGCATGTAGAATCGGTGCCGGCTGCAGAGTACAAGTCAGAGAATGAGAACAAAAACTGAAGTGACGTACACAAGTAAACAATTCAAGCGCACACTGCCTGGACACTTATGAGCATTTATGTACATTCATGCACACTTGCACACACCCTGGTCATATATTGTTTTATTCCTAGGCTGCATTTACACTGCAGACCTTGATGATCTTGATCTTGATCAATTCCAATTTTGTGACTGTATTAGATTTTTTTTGCTGACCTGCTTACATCATCTTTTAAAAGTGACTTGTATCCGATTGTCTGTATTTACACAGCACACGGCAAAGGCGCAATGACCTGGAAAAAAAAGAACACTTCTAGACTGACTTGAATCTGACATGTACTGAGTATTCACCTTATTCTTCGCCGACGAGTGGGCGCTGCCAATTTAGGCCCCGTTTACACTAGTGCGTTTTAGTTTGAAAACGCATAAGTTTTGCTACGGTTACGCCATCTGTCCACACTACGCCGGAGTTCTCGAGCGCCGAAAACTGAGCTTTTTGAAAACGCTGGAGAGGCCGTTTTCATTCTAAAACGCTGCTGCTCCGTCTCAGTGTGGATGGGGAAAGACGGACACATCTGAAAACGGAGGCGGGGCTGCAAACGTTCGCCTATCTGATTGGGGCTTTTCCTCAATATTAAGTAGCCCACACACAGTTCAGTCTCGCATCCTCTTCTTGTAAGTTAAGACTTCGCAAGTTTGATCAAGGCTGCAGTCTCCCCCTTCTCAGTTTGATATGGAAAACATACCGAGGACACGCGTAAATCTTCAAAGGGAACAGTGTACTTTATAACTTCATTCACATCACCTTGACTACGTTGTTTCACTTTCTCAACAATAAAATGTAAACATGATTTAAGGAACTGCCTATTTTCTTTTTAATATTAGCAACTTAACAGACAGCAGAAATGTTGAGGCGCCGTGCTGCATATATGAGCGTCATCTTCACTGTGTGGATATTTATAACAAAACGGAGCTGATAACAACTGCCTCCTTTCAATTTCAGTGAAAATACGAAACGCACCCTCTCTTTTGCTGAATATCAGTTTTAATAATCGATAATTATAAAAGTATAACATACAATAAGTTTATACATTGTAGGAAATAAAGGCAAGCGATCAGTCAATGTACCTGGATTAATCATTAACTTATCTTTGCGCTTAACCAAAACATATTACCCGTGAACAAGTAACTTAATAGATTCCAATGACCAAAGTCAGGGAATTGGCCTATGTCGTTAGATAAAGACAACAACATGAATGAAATATCACGTTTAGCAAATATAGTGAGATTAGATCCAGCGGGAGATGCTTGATGAGCAGTCCGACAAGCAGAGCTCTCATCTGGGTAGAAATGCTGGAGCGCTTGCCCGAGTGTGTGTGTGTGGTCACGTGATGTGCGTTTTCAGCGTTTTGGTGTGGACGGAGAGCTGTTCAGAAACGCTGGGTAAAACGCTAGTGTGGATGCGGATCGTTTTCATTCTACAAATCCGTTTTAAAACTAAAACGCACTAGTGTAAACGGGGCCTTAATCTTTTTGGCTTGAGACTTCCAGTCTCATTCACTTCGATTCATTTTTTGACGTTAAAAACTGCTCATTATGCTGCTTGATGTTGCAGTTTGATATTTTCTTATTATAGTATTCTACTTGGTCTATAAAGTCATGCAAACATTTGTTTGTAGAGCAAGTAGTTTTACCATTTTTTGCCGTTTATTATTCCTAGTCATTTCTCTCATAGGCGACTGAATCGGAAGTTCTAAGACAATCGTGAAAACAGGCGCACTTCCGTATTTTAGAATAAGGTCAATATAATGGATTTTTAAAAACAAATACATTTGACTTCATTAAGCCTTAATTGGATTGAAAAAAAAAAAAACTAAATTATTAAAAAAAAATTTGTAAATGTCTCATGCGTTTAATAGGAATGGAAGTGGAAATATACTGGAAATGTAAATTTAGTTTGGAATGTAAAATGAACATGCAACAAATATATGAATCTGATTTGGTTTTATTTAGACTGAACTTTAAAAATCTGGAATCTGATTGAATATAATTCCAATAACAAATATTATAAAAATGGTTTAAGTGATATTTTGATGGATATCTTCCAGTGAATCTATAACTAGCATCTATTTAAACTAGATATAGAACTAGCCCCTTCATTCATTCATTCATTCATTCATTCATTCATTCATTCATTCATTCATTCATTCATTCATTCATTTGCTTATTATATTTGATAATCTTTAACTTTACTATTTGAAAGGGATCTATCATGATTTTCTGTTAACTTGCGAATTATAAGTGATTAAATCACAACAATGGCACAAATTAAAATTATTAAAAAGATTTTAATAAGGTCTATTACAGCAAATCAGTTCTAAATGTGATAGTTTACTTTCATTGTATAGATAACTTGCACAGCAATGTACTCTATACCATGCAGTATAGGTGAATTGAATAAGCTAAATTGGCCTTGGTGTATGTGAGTGAATGCGGGAGTGTTTGGGTGTTTCCCAGTGTTGGGTTGTGGCTGGAAGGGCATCCGCTGCATGAAACATATGTTGGATAAGTTGGTGACCCCTTATTAATAAAGGGACAAAGCTGGAAAAAAATGAATAAATGAATTGTGTACCTTTTGTGTATTTGTGCTTTCAAAAATTCTCACATAGAACATAAATCAGTATCAATCTCTAACTACAGTATACATTAGTTTCTCACTTGGTTTTATGAAGCTTGGGGAATTTATTCCTGGAAATCATTTTGATTGAAGAAAAATATACAATGGATTAGCAATAAATACTCTCCTTGACAACATTATTGTTTTCCAGCCATCATGTGAAACAGCAGAATTACGTCAGTCCTTTTTACGCTAAAATAACAAGATGACAAGATCCAGGGCGTTCCTCTGCTGAGGGAGCTCAGAGGAGAGCTGAAGGGGATTTAAGTAAAGATAGACGCCCCCCTGGAACAACTTCTCATATTTAGCTGGGGAGTGCAAGGCTCAATGAGAAAATGAAAGTAGGGCTGGACTGTGTTTCTGATCATAAGCTTTGCTATCCATAATGGGAAACAAACTTTTTATTGACCAGCCACATACAAAATTTTACCAGACATTATACAGTACTTAAGTTGCCATTGTGTAAAACTGAAAAAAAAAAAAGCATCGTTATAGGTGGCCTAAACAAATAAGTGTAGGGTGAAAAGTAAACATTCACACTATATCCTGAGACTTTTAAGTAA